GGTCAAGCTCCATGGCTTTCACATTCTGTAAGCATGGTGCTGAGTCAGAGTGGAGCAACCGGAACACCTATCAGTGCCCATGTAGGTTGCGGGCTGAAGATTATGCCTCCACGCCAGCTCATGCACATTAGTTTTATGTCTCTTTTCTTGTTGGTAATGAAGGCTGACATCAGTTACTTCCCAGTCTGTGCAGTGTCTACCACTTCATCATCCTCTTGAAAGTCCTGAATTCTCTTATTATCTCATCCTACTCCCTTATCTTCTACAGCACTAAACTTATTTATTTACTTTGCAGTTCTCAATATACTCCCTTTCAATGGATATTTGAGGAATATTAGATGAGAGCTTCACATTAGAATGTAATATTTAAAAACTCCCTTAAATTTATCATTGCTCCCAATGAGCAGTAGTAATATAACATACTCAGTTTATTATACAGTTAATTAATGATTTGAAAAACATTAGGTCCATGGGCAAGTAGCTCGGTAGTTGTGATTTTTAATCCATGTCCTATAACTTTGGAGCTTAATTTTTTAAACTCTTCTAATTAGTAGGCATATTTTTAACTTCCTTTTAAAACAGTTTTGTTTCAATGTTATCACTTCTGATGTAAGGTCCTTAGTTCCAAAATATATGCCTTGGACAGTTTTATATTTATTTTTCTATCAAGCATTGAGTACCAGATTAAGGAAATATTTTTACTGCATCAAAAAAATATTCTATAGATATTGTGAAATTTGAGTTTGACATTGTCTCATATGTATTCTTATAAATTCTAATCGATGCCTGATTTTGACTGACAAAAAGCAAAGTTATAGAGAGGGAAGGATATTTGAATATCTGCTCCAAGTATAGATAATGCAAAATATGGTTTATATTTGTCATTGGTATATAATTGCCTTCTCATTCAACAGTACTCGATATAGATTCAAAGAATAACACAGGTCATGTGATTTCTATTAAAATCACATTAATTATAACACATCAAAGTATATCAACATGTTGATAAAAAAATTGTCCAGATATAGTTTTAGTAGTTTGGTGGAATGGAAAGATATTATGTATCTATTGACAAAAATATTGTGCATCACAGATATCTAATGAAATTAAAAATGAATGTTTGTATCTTATTTTGAAACATAAATGCCAAAGCTTATGCTTCAGAGTTCTTTAGAATTAGTGAGGGAATGAATTGATTCCTTCATCTGGGTAAATAAGCTTAGAGTCTCATTTTGATTTCAGTGTATAATGCCATGTGTCCATTATCTGTAGTAGGGTATTATTTTCATAAAATAGAGCTTACAGCTTATTCATGTCAGAACAGTGTTGCTGTCAGTGGAGCTTTGTTTTAGTGACCAACCACAGGGTGTTTCCAAATTCTCTGCTATCCTTCCCATCTATTAGGCTAGCCAGAGATGACATACGTGGAAAGTTATCTAAATGTTTGAGCACTGAAACTGGGATGATGAAACTGCTGCTTCCCTGTAGGTGTCATTCAGTACTGATAACCAAGTTTTTCTTGTTCTTCCATTTTTATTGCTAAAGACTGGAGCACATTACCGCTGCGATGTTTTCCAAAATTCTAGGGCATCACCTTTTGAGGTCCACCATGTATGTTTTTGATCCCAGCCCAGTAAATACTTTGGCTTCATGCCACTTTTACACTTAATGTTTAAAGGAATTTTCTGTGTTCTCTTTCCCGTGCTCTCTGTAATGTTAGCGTACAGATTCTTAAATGATGATTTTTGGTATGAAACAGACATAAGATACTATTTCAAGCAGAATCTTCTCACTGAAGCACTTTCCAGTTGAAAGGATTGCATCAGTCTAAGTAGTTTTGAAATGACAGGTCTCCAAAACACAGATCTTTCATGATTTTATTTTTGAGAGTGTTTAATACAGGGATAAAGTATAATCCTATGATCTTCTGTAGTTATGCCATACAGAAAGGAAACGAGAAGTGTTGCATGGCTTCTGTGTGGTGTTCTTATGTGTGTGTGACTTAGTCAAGACATCAGAGTAACACTGAGGATTCTCAGGCTCTCAGAGATAAATTCCTGATTTTCAGTCCACCTTAACATCTCATATTTTCTACTTTTTTTTTTGTTAGCATGAATAGGTTTATAATATTATGGAATAAAATTGTAAAAATGGAGTCAAAGTTCTAATAAATCAATAAATAATAAATAAATAAATGCAGCAATCAAGACCATCTCCAGGGGCTGAATGTGACTTCAAGGAAGCTGGCAGAAAGGTACAGGTCGTGAGAGCCTGAGGTCCTAAGGCCATGTGAAGGCTGAGCGTTAAGGCCGTGTGGGCACAGGTGGCTGCTTGAGACCTGAGCATGAATCATGGATCTTAAAGGCTCTTCCATAACACAGGGCAGAAGAGCCTCCCTATCTAAACGCCCTCAAGAAAACCGACAGCAAGGGCCATCAGACACAGCTTCAAGGTCCAAATGGTCCTCCAAGATAATGTGATAACATAAAATAATCTTACATCAAACCAAACTCATTAATAAATCCGTGAGAAGCCAAGGTGAAGTAAAACAGCACGGTAGTGATAAGTTTTAACTGCCTTGTCGTTTTGCTAAATTAATCAGGGAAATGTTTATTCAAGCAACCCTATCATCCTATTGCAACCCCCTACCTCACTCTGGAAGACTAACTAATATCATATGCCTTAGAATATGACTGTAAACACTGTTCTTATTAAATTCAAGGGGACTTCAAAATGCATAAGAAAATGTAGAATTAGAAGATAAATTGATTTGGGAGCAAACATTCTGAAATTTATAGACAGGTTTTTTTAAGTACAGATTTTTCACACACTCATTGTGTTTGGTTTTCATCACCGGTAATATAACTTGAGCTGTTAGATTCTTCCCATGCTAAATGCCTTCCAAGGAGAAATAAGGCTGAGTATGTTTCTATAGGAGAGACAACAGATGACTCCAAATGGTTTAACTTCCCTTTGGACAGATTCGGAGTAAATGATTAAGGAGAGATGGCAATTAAGAAAAATTCAGAAGAGACAAAATTGAATGATTTTGCATAGAATTTAGAATTCTCAATGAAAGGATTTTCTTTGTTAAAAAGATTTATTTTTATCCCTGAAAGGCAGATTTTTCTTCTTCTTCTTCTTCTTCTTCTTCTTCTTCTTTTTTTTTTTACAGAGAGGATAGACAGAAAACTCTTCCATCTGCTTGGTCACCCCCAAATGGCTCCAACAGCCACAGCAGAGCTTATCTGAAGTGGGGACACCTCTCTGGCCCACTAAGGACTTCTGTACTTCTAAGAATTATAGTTTAAATTATTCAAATTATGATCATTCCAGATTAGATGTATTTAAAAACTGTTAACAAAATTTTTTTTTATATTTATAAGGCTCCTCCTTTAAAAAAAAACCAACTATTATTATGTTGAAATAATTGGGACATTAAATTTTAAGATTCCTCCAAACTATAAAACTAGTAAGAAATAAAATTTACTGGGAGTAGGGGGTGGGGCAATGGCTCAACTGGCTAATCAGCCATTTTCAAGCACCTGCATTTTTTATGGCTGTCTATTGGTATCCAGACTGCCCCACTTCTCATCCAGCTTGCTGCTTATGGCCTGGGAAAATAGTTCTAACTATAATTCTATAATGGGAAAATTAGTGTGAGATTAGATGCAGCCCATATGTAGCATTTCATTTATAGCAGAAAAAAATAATACTTGAGTTGTGTTGAAAACATCCAACTGGAATTGAATTGTACAAAGCAATCATGTACAGGTAAATAATAACTGGAGTTTCAGTGCTTTAGGGAATTTCAAAGGTGCCGAGTAATTCAATGACTTCATTTTAGCAGGTCAGAGCGTGTTCCCCAGTTAATATTGCTTGGGCAACACTGTAAGAGGTCCATAACACCTGCATCCTCTTTGTCACTTCCACTCTGTTCCACCGAGGAATTCACTCACTTCGTCTCTCACCCCTTTTGCATTGTTTTAACCTTTGATTTTGCGATCAGTGCCAGTCTCACTACCCACACAAATAGTAATGATGGTTTATTTAATGTGGGTGGTAAATTCCTTCTAAGTGTGTCTATGTTATCCTTGTTTTTTTTTTTTACGAAGTAGTCTTTGGTTCCTTTTATCTGGCTATGCAACTGGATGTGTGTCAGTCAGCCTCAGGTTTCTACCCATTGCAGCAACCAGGAGACAACCCACTGGAATCCTCGCTCATCTCCTCTGGATGCCTGTCGATTCCGCTGCAGATGACTAAATCCACTGCCAAGAATTTCAGAGTACATATGTGTGCTTGTGAAAGCAGTGTGGGAGTCCACCACGTGATCTGCCTGAAGGCTATTTTAATTCGATTTCTCCAATTGTGACATACTAAGAGCGTGTTTAAAATGTTCACTGCAACCAATATAGACCAAACAGCTTCACTAACTTTGTGTCATTTTATTGTTTAACTTGAAACTGAGCTGTAACCAAGGTCTTATCACTGTATTAGTAAATGCATCTCCCCTAGTTCAGGATTGTCTATCTTTTCTACCTTATCAGATTTTGTAAACATGTTTTAACCTTGCAATCTTCCTCTACCGTTAAAAGTAGAGTTTATTGACATACTGCATAAATTCAAGAGAGTTCAACCAGGGAGAAATCTACACGGAACACGAAAGGCTGAAGATGGGAACGCACATTCTCTTCATTTTGGTTAGATTTTCTTTCTTTCAATACATGAACTCAAGGGGAAATAAGACAGTGATGAACTTGGGCAGATAGTGTCAGCCCTGAGCACACAGCGCAGGGCGGAAAATGTGCCAGCCCCAAATGCCCTCCGACTTTTATTTCCTCCCCTCTCGCAGTTCCCGGCATTCCCCGCTTCCGTCGCAGGTGCATCCTGCACCAAGTTCCCGGGGCGCAGTCTCTTGCAGGCGCCCTGCTCTCTATTTTCCTAAGGCACTAGTGAGAAGAAAAAGGGGACTGAGCGTCTCCTGCGCACAGGGGCCGCGCGCTCCGGAGCTGGCTGCTTCTCAGAGCCGTGCCCGGCCCGCTCCTCTCTCCAGGGTCCCTCTTAGCGCCGGCTGCCGCCCCCAGCCCCGCCATGGGGAATGTTCCGTCGGCCGTGAAGCACTGCCTCAGCTACCAGCAGCTTCTCCGGGAGCATCTGTGGATCGGGGATTCAGTGGCAGGGGCGCTCGACCCCGCGCAGGTACAACCTCGCGGCAGGAGGTGTCCTGCGGCTTCTCTCCCCTCAGTCTCTCCGCTTTGTGTCACCCCGCACTCCAAGGCCCTTTCTGCTGCCATTGTGTCCTGTCAGACTTCACTGCTTCAAAGGTGTCCCATCCTCTGCCAGGAGACGCGTAGACCAGCCCCCGGCAAAATGCCCACCTGTGCCCTTTGGCGTCTCCCCAGAAAAACAATCCCCTCTGTTGGTGTTCCTCGGGAAAGATGTCATAGGCTATCCTTAAAGATAGCGGCCCTTTTCTCAGTTCCATTTTTGTACTGTGTAACAAAGATGACAGATTTGTCACTGAAAGGCAGGGAAAGGAGCCAAAGTAGAAAGCTAGAAAAACACATAGAATGAAATTATTTATCTTATTATTAATTGTCCTTAATAGGGTTTTTATGCTTGAGTAAATAAATTTGAAAATTGCAAGTAACAGTGATTTGAGACTAAAATTTGATCTTAGAGTATTTCTCAAAATCCTTGGTAAAGACAATAGGAAGCTTAATATCAATATACTTAAGATTTGATGCATTGCCAACCAAAGATAAATGAAGAAAAATATAGGAAGAAATTTACTTTCCCTTTAAAAAAATTTTTAGGATTTTACAAAATATTAAGTAACAGCAATGATTGTTGTACTGTTTGACTGGAAAATGAGAAGGACACGGTGAGGGGGTCAGCATTTAAAATGAAATAATTGAAGGTATTGAATGTTAAATTCCTTATTCCTGATACCTCATGAGAACACATGGTAACTAATTTAGTGGGTAAGCATACTTTAATAATATGTGCATTTAAATCAATGTCCTAATATTAGGTGCTCCATTTGTGATTTAGGCATTCTCTGTTCAGTGTGTCAGTATATGAATTTGTTACCTTAGCTCTACAATTTGAAAATCATGATCTGTGAGTATTTTTTCTTATTTTTTTATGTAGTAAAATCGTTTGAGAAATACAGAAATGAAAACAAAGGCAGCTGCCATCTGCAGTTTCATTTCCCAAATATGGGCCAGCCTTAACATGGGCCTCCATCCAGATCTCCCGTGTGGCTGCCAGGAGAGCAGTCACTTAAGGCCACGTTATGAGCCGGGTCAAGGGTAGCAGGGAGCAGGAGGCTGTGAGCTTTGGTACTTCCATGCGGGACCTGGCATCTTAATGACTGGGGCTAAAACTGACTGTCATTTGTGGACTTCTTGTAAGACGTTTCATTCCTCATGGCGTAAAAGAAGGTCAGCATTATTTAGCTCAAAATCTGTTGATGACAATGATAGAAGAGAGAATGTACCATTCATCTTGTCACATGTATGTGCACATTTGATTTCCCTAGATTGTGTTTTCAACTTCCTTTTATAACTTCTTTAACTTTCATGCTCAATCTGACATATAAAGCAGAAATGCCAACTTTCATATTTCAAATCTGAATCTTTGAGTGACTTTGTTGCCGAGTGAGCATTGTGTTAATCTTCCTTTTCATTGGCCTGGTTGCCTTGTTGAGATGTGGAAATGGGATTAAATATATTACCAAGATGACTGATCAAAGAATATGAGCAATTAGACTCGGGGACACACATCAATCTGTAGAAGACATTTGGTTTCTTTCGAAAGAAATATCTATACCTTCCCTTAATATGATCTTTTACCCCACAATTGTTTTGTTTGAGAGTAATTCTCAATTACTTAGTGGCTGTTGAATTGTTATTTTTTGAGCTTTGCTTATTTAAATGCAAAGGGGCATGGAGGCTTTGCCAATCCCTCTTTAAAATGTAGCCACTTCGTGGACTTTGAACACAACTTTGCTACTTTCAGCCCTATTTCCAGGGTTCCTCGGAAATCTGGTCCATATCTGAGTCCCTCACGTCTATACCCCTAGATCGTATTAGGGACAGTCACAATTTCAGTCGCTATCTGAGCATGACTGTCTTCCCGATTTATGTTCCTGTCAGTCTCAATGACCCAACTCATTTCCCAGCATCACTTGCATGCTCAAAGACAATTCAAACTTAGCACTTCCAAAATCCCATTGTGTCCTTCCAGCCCTGGGTCTCCCTCAGTGTCTTCCCTGGCAGGGAATACCTTCTCAATCAGTTACATTCTTCCACCCAGTTAGGAATGGCTTCATTCTTTCATTGTCCTCCCATTTTACTTTGCAAATTTCCTTGAAATACATTGTTTTCTACCTTTGCTGCTACTTCTGATTTATTTCTGTTGTGGGCTGCCCAACTGCTAAGTACTCTTGTTCTCCATGTTTTCCTCTTCAATCTGGTGCAGATGCCATTTATTTAAAATGTAATCATAGCCACAGGCGGCAGGTGTTTGGGCTGGCAGCTGAGCACTTCACATGGTATCGTGTGAAGTCATCTGCCATATGACCTCTTTTCTTAATTTAATTTTTAAGAAAACTTTTATTGGATATACAAAGAGGAGGCGATACAGAGAGAAAGATCTTCTGTCTGTTGAGTCACTCCCCAAACAGCCACAATGACTAGAGTTGCACTGATCTGAAGCCAGGAGCCCGGAGCCTCTTCCATATCTCCAACATGGGTACAAGATCTTAAAGTTTTGGACCATCCTCGATTGCTTTCCCAGACACAACCTAGGAGCTGGATGGGAAGCAGGGCTGCAGGGATCAGAACTGGCCCCCATATGGTTCGTGCAAGATGAGAACTTTAGCCACTAGGCTATCGTGTTGGGCCCCCATTCTCTATAACTTCTTATGTTCACATTTTTTTTAAAAGATTTATTTATTTATTGGAAAGTCAGATATACAGAGAGGAGGAGGAGAGACAGAGAGGAAGATCTTCCACCTGATGATTCACTCCCCAAGTGAGCGCAAACGGCCAATGCTGTGCAAATCCGAAGCCATGATCCAAGAACCTCTTCTGGGTCTCCCATGCAGGTGCAGGGTCCCAAGGCCTTGGGACGTCCTGGACTGCTTTCCCGGGCCACAGGCAGGGAGCTGAATGGGAAGCAGGGCTGCCGGGATTAGAACCGGTGCCCATATGGGATCCTGGGGCGTTCAAAGCCAGGACTTCAGGTGCTAGGCCATGCCGCCGGGCCCATTATCTTCACATTTTTTATAATGGTCCACAAAATCAGATTGATGCAATCTTACGGTAGTTCTAGTGTACATTTCCCTGATCATTAGTTGTAGTGCTTTTGGGTTAGAGTTTTGCTCATTGCAATTGAACGGTTTGCGTTTCTCACTGTTTATCAACTCCTTTTCGACACATTTCTTTCTATTATTTTGATTGTTTCTTCACTTTGCTAATGGTTTTTTAATAACCTTTTCTTGGTCCAATATTGTTGTTTCCCTTGCTTTGGGGATCTGAATTAAAACAAAACAAAATAAAACCAAAAGCCTTGTGATTTTCATGTCCTAGAGCACTTGCCTTTATTCTCTTTTCGTAATTTCAAAGTTTCAGGTCTTACATTTAAGTCTTTAATATATTTTCAGTGTATGTTTGTACACTAGAAGAATGTAGTTGGATTCTCATGCCTGTGTACGCAGTTTGTCAGCAGCAGGTATGAGAAAGCCTGTCCTTTCTCCAATGTGTGCACTTAGCATCCTTGTCGGCTTGCTACTGAAGCAGGAGGGTACTTGCAGGTTGTACATCTTATTTCCTGAGTCTATTGGCCTATTCATCTGCATGTCTATATATACTTTCAATCACTGTCGCTTTACAATGCATTTTTAAAAAAAGATTTGTTTATTGTTACTGGAAAGTCAGATAAACAGAGAGAAGGAGAGACAGAGAGGAAGATCTTTTCTCTGCTGGTTCACTCCCCAAGTGGCCACAGTGAACAGCTGAGAGCATCTAAAGCCAGGAGCCAGGAGCCTCTTTCCAGGTTTCCCATGTGGGTACAAGATTCCAAGGCCTTGGGCCGTCCTCGACTGCCTTCCCGGGCCACAGGCAGGGAGCTGGATGGGAAGCTGGGCTGTCGGGACAGGAACTGGTGCCCATATGGGATCCCAGCTCGTACAAGGCGAGGACTTGAGCCACTAGACCATCGTGCTGGACCCTACAATGTACTTTAAAATCAGGGTGTGTAAATATTTCTTACTTTATTCCTTTTACACAAGATATTGGTTATTTGAGTATCTTTCATGATTCTAAACAAATTTTAAAGCATCTCATCTAGTTTTATGAGAGTGATATTTGTATTTTGAGAAAAAAATGTGTTGACTGTTTCAGTGACTTTGGTGAGTATTGAATATTATAAATATCAGTATTTATTCTTCCAACCCATCAGCATAGATATCTTTTGCTTTCTTTTTTGTCTTTTTGGTTTCTTTCATCAGTGTTTCCCAGTTCTTATTGTGGAAAATTTTTCACCTCCTACATTGAAGTTATTTACTAAGGATTTACATTTTTAAAATTTCTTTTGCAGATAATCTGTTACTACTTTGTATTAATGTTATCGATTTTGGTGTGAATATGTTGCAATATTTTCCTGTTGAATATGTTGCAATATTGTTGCCTTTATTGTTCCAGTACTTGTTGTTGTTGTTGTTTGGTGCAGACTATGGTATTCTATGTAAAAGTTCATCTCTTCTACCACCGGTGACAACTGGACTTCCTTCTTTCAAATGCAATAGTTTTTATTTCATTCTATTACCTCCTTTCTCTATGACTCTCAGTGTTGGGTTAGATAAAAGTGCTGGAAGTGGTAATTTTTGCCTTGTTCCAAATCTTAAAAAAAAAAATCTTGAGATTTTCTTCACTTGGTACGGTGTTAGCTGTTGTCTTGTTGTATTTGGCCTTTGTTACTTGTGTATTCATTCTTCATCTAGTTTGTTCAGAATTTCTATGAAGGAATTAGGTTTTATCATGTGGCGTTTCTTTGTCTATCGATATGTTCAATTTTCTGTCACGCAGTTGAGTAAACATGATGCGTGTCATGTTTAGTGATTTTTTCAACATGAAGTTGATGAGTAATCCTTTTATGGTGCTAGTATTCTTTAGGATTTTTCCATCTACTTT